TTACCTCCCCGCTCTCTCCCAATCACCCTCTTACGACGCCTCTGTGTGCTGTGAGCGATTAATTTATAGGCTGGTAATAGGCTAAAACAATATTTAAAGTCATTTTGCCCAATGTAGCTTTTAAGGAGGGATGGAGATAATAATTACTTAGAGACCCGTTTTATCTCCCTGGGGTCGTTACGCGGCGCTCCTCGCCGGCCTGGCAGCCTCCTCCCGCCCCGGGACCCGTGTGCTCCTCGGCAGGCGCGGGCCCCTGGCGACAGCCCTCACCTGCCGGCGACCGCGCCGGGTAACGCGCGGGCCCCGGTCGGGAGTGGGGGCGACCCTGGAAGATGGAAGCCGGGCTCCACCGGCTTCTCGTTAGCAAAGTCGGGGCAGAACTTATCTGTCACTCAGGAGGCCAGGACTCTGTGGCCCAGGTGGCCGGAGAAGATGGCCCGGTGCCCACGCTAGGCACCAGGGGGGCGTTGGGGCGGCAGTGGGGACCAGACAGAGGTTGAAGGGCTGGGCTTGGGGCGAGCCCATGCTGTGAGCATCCTCTCTGTTATGGCTCAGCCATGGAGGGGAGAGAATGGTGAACATCGTCTCGGGGAGTCCACGCACGACCACACAAAACCATCCCACCGTGGGCAGGCGGGCGGACACCTGCCGCTAGGCCTCTCTCGTCCCTGGGGTGTGACTAAGGAAGGGGCTCTGAGGGAGGGAGTGTCGGGGGAGGTGGCCGAGACAAAGGGGAGCTGCTTCACCTGGGGAGCACCCATACTGCCTCCTAGGGAGCCCCTTCGCTGCCCCGACCCCTGCCCAGGTTGTCTGCAGGTGCCTGGGGGGCGGCTCACGGCAGCCTCCCGGGGCGGGACCTGGACTCCGGGGTCGGATGGAGCTGCGGCCGGATTCCAGCTTTGACTTACCGGGGTGACTTGGAGGTTCGCAGGAGACCCCTGGGCGCTGTGCCCGGGTGGGCGAGCCGGGCTATTCCTGCAGCCAGGGAAGCCTGGGGCATGCTGGGCGGGCCCTGCAGGGTGCACGCCCCCCAACGCCACCCACGCCACCTAGGGGGACCCGTGACTTCAGCAGGTTCTCAAAGAAACGAGGACACCCGTGCTACAGAGGGCCGGGCGAGGGTGGACTGGGAGCCCCCAGCCCCCAGGGAGTCGGGTGAGGGCCTCGCCCTCTGGGGGGCCTCTGGAAGCCGTCTCCCCGCCCCCCCCACCTGGTGGACGTGTGCTCTGGATTCACCCGCGCCTCTGGGGAGCTCTCACCTGCTCTGTGCTTCTTAAGGGCCGAAGTGTTCACGGCCTTAAAATCATTATAAAATGCCTGGATTTGTCATGTTTAATGTTCTGACCCTTGTTCGGCACTTTTGGTGCCATGGTTTGATGAATTCTTCAAATAGTCTATGAACAGTTAAGGGAAAGAATGAAGGAATTCCCAGCATTATGTCATTTGCAAGAAATTGTCCTTTGGAGACAAAGGGTAATCTGAACTCTAGCCTTTTCTAGAGTCTGAAGCAGTGAGTGCTGGAGGGGGAGAGATGGGGCCCCCCGCCCCTGTCAGGAGGCTGGCCTGGGGGAAGTGGGTTCAGAGGTAGAAGTGGGGCAGGACTTTTAAGCCTGTAGGTGAGAGTATTCTATGGAAAGATGTCCCGGGATGCCATCCTGCTCCCGCCGGCCAAGGGCAGGACATGCGGTCCACTCAGAGAGCAGCAGAGGGGAGCAAGTGACCCTGGGAAAGTCACCTCCCTTCCCTGGGCCTCAGTTTCCCCATCTTTACAGGGGGTGGTTGAGATCGTCCCTAACTCATCTCTACATTGTCAGATTGTCCTCCAACTCTGACATCCCAGGATCCTATGACCGTGCACGTAGTAGGTGATCAGAAACACTTGCGGTCAGTCATGCACTCAGCAAGCCTGTGTGTGTGCAAACTCCAGGCCTGGAGCGTGTAGTGTGTACCTACAGGAAGCTTAGGATGAGACCCTGGCTTCTCTGCCCGTCCTGTTGGTGGGCACACGCCAGGGCTGCGGCAGGTAGGAACCCAGAGTAGGGTCTCTACCCACCCTGGGAATTCTGGAAGAAATGGGGGTGGGGGACTCGGGGCTCCGTGCGGGCAGGGGCGGGAGCTGGGGCTGGGGAGAGCCCAGCAGTCAGCAGGCTCGTGGGGTGGGGGCCACAGAGGAAAAGCAGGCCTTTTAGGGCCTGTGCTCCCTGGATGAACGAGGGTCACCCCACTCCAGCGTCGGCCCTGGGCTGGGGGCCGGGGGCAGAGTGGAAGCACTCCGCCCCAGGGCCATTCACCCTGCCTCCCTCCTCGCTTCCTCACCCCCATCTTCCCTGTTGTCCTCGCAATGATTTTTGCAGGCCAGTCCCAGCGAGGGGGCCGGCCCCCAGAAAGTGGTGGGCCGCATCCATGTGTCTTCTGCAAAGAGCCTCATAAAAGGGGCCCAGACTGGAAATCAATTCTCTAAAGTTGAAATCAATAACAATAACTAATATTAATACGGATTATCCTTCCTTTATTGCACGTTGCAGCTGGGTTGGGGACGGATGGTGTTTGGGGACCGGGGACGGGGCAGGGGGCAGGCTGCACCAGGGAGCCCGCAGTGTCTGCGTGCGGGGTCCGGGGAAGTGGAGAAGAGTCAGCCGGGTCCGGTTGTGGGGTGGCGGGGTGTGCCGTGGACGCCTCGGCTCCTGCCTCTTGGGTTGAACTTGTCCCAGGCCTGGTTTCCCCATCACGGTCCCCACATGACTGGGCTCATCAGGTGCCCAGATTTGGGGAGGGCGGCCCGCCCCACACTTGGGACACCCGAGTCTGGAGGGGAGAAGGGGGAAGTGCATTGCACAGGAAATGGTCAGTGAGGCTCCTGGAAGCGCCCAGAACTGGGCCGGCTTTCCGTGCGGTTCTCTCCGGGGTCAGCCCAGGCCCTCGGTCAGAGTCTACAGAGAGGAAACCCAGGGCCAGGAGGCGTGTGCCTCTCTGGAAAGGGATGAGGCGCGTCACTTGGGGTCTGGGCAGTGAGTCCCCCCTCCCCTCAGAGAGGAGCAGTCACTAACTCCCATGTTCCAGCTGTGTAACTAGGGGCTGGGAGGGGCTCCCCAAGTCTTCCCTTTTATGGGGGTAAAGCAGGATCCAGACCCAGGGCTTCCGCTTGCCAAGCCCCTCCTCATGCCCCAGCAGGAAGCTGTGGGTGTTGAAAGCAGGGTAGCAGGGGTGAGTGTAATACACATGTCTTTAGAGACACAGTGAATCCAGAAGGGGGCTCAGAGGACCCTGAAGACTGTGTGTGTGCACGTCTGTGTGTGTGCGCACGTCTGTGTGTGTGCAAGTTCATGTGCATGTCTGTGTGCGTGTGCATATCTGTGTGCATGTGCCAGTGTTTGGAGGACACAATTGGAAATTATTTATTCTACAATGTTAAGTGGCTAAGTGTATACACAATTATATGTATTCTGTATATTCATTGGGAATCTTCTGCAAAAAACATATACTGAAACTAGAACTAGAACACAGAAGTGGAAGGAAAAGGTGAGGAATATTCTAGAGGGAAGAGGAAAGAGAATTGTGTCTCAGGAACCAGAGAGACAGTCACTGGTCAGGTGATGTGAGCCTGAGCTTCCTGGTAGCCACAGCAAGGAGAGAAAGAAGATGGGTCTGCACTTCTGGCCAACAGGAGGAAGAGTTTACCTGGGGGGTGGCTAGAGTCAAACATTGGTTTACCAGAAGTTTCCTTATGAAAGGGGAAGAGGGTGGTCCACGTCTTCGAAAGGCTTTTTCTGGACTTGCCAGGTGGTCCAGTGTTAAGATTCTGAGCTTCTACTGCAGGGGCATGGATTCGATCCCGGTCAGGGAAGTTCCACCGTTTGGCCGAAAAAAAAGGCCTTTCCTTCTGCAGGCCCTCAGCAGAGGCCGAGGGATGCTGTGAGCTCTGGAACCCACGTGGATTTGGATGGAGGGCAGCCCCCACCCCAGACAGGACCAGCTCAGTGACCACACCAGGTTAACAGCTGTCAGGTGGAGGAAAGAGTGCTCGCTTAGTCCCACGGGGTGGTGGGGTCCTGGGGTAAGGGGCTGGGGTGAGCCAGGAGTGGGGCTGGAGTCTTCAGGCAGGTCTGTAACTGGCTGGGCTGGGTTCTGTTGGTCTGTGACCCTGGGGGCGGCAGCCCTGGAGGTGGGGGTGGGCTCCTTCCTGCAGCTGGCTCGGCTCCCGGACTCCAGGCCTGGCCCCACGCTGTCCCCAGCTTCTCCTGGCTGTCCCTCACTGCCTCCGTGCCTCTTGGCGGGTCAGCCTGCTGAAGCCATGTTTACCCGCCGTCCATCGCCTTGATGTGGGCAAACAGGATGGACGGGAGGGACAGGAGATAAGGCTGGGCCTCTGGATCAAAGGTGGTGGTGCTCACATTACTTGGCCCATGAGCTTATTTACTGTCCCTGAACTTTCACCTGCCCGCCACGGGGCAGAGACCGAACCACAGGGTTCTTCAGAGGGCCCCGATCTCATTCCGGGGCTCTGTGCGGTCAACGGGGCTAATGGAGGCGTGCACGCTGAAAACCGCACAAGTGAAAACGTGTGAGCCTCCCCTCAGGCAGGCCTCTCAGCAAACTGGGGGCACTGTCATCCCCAATTCACAGATGAACAAACTAAGGCTCAGAGAGGCCAAATCGCTCATCCCGGGCGCCCTCTTAGTCAAACCTCGGGATTGTTCTTTTCTCTTTTAAAAAGATTTTTTGATGCGGACCATTTTTTAAGTCTTTATTGAACTTGTTACAATATTGCTTCTGTTTTATGTTTTCCTTTTTTTGGCCCAAGCAAGTGCCACCTTGGCTCCGCAACCAGAGACCCGACCAGACATTGGAGGCGAAGTCTTGGCTCCCGGACTGCCAGGAAGGCCCCAGGACCGGCGTTTTAACCCGCACGGCTCTGACTCTTTAGGGGGAGCCCCGTGCTGTCTCTGAGTCTAGAGGGAGTCAGGGGCTGCGGGGGCAGCGCCCCGGCCCGCAGAGGCGAGATGAGGGGGCAGCCCCCGGGGCGCAGCCCACACCCCGCAGGGCTCGTCCTTACCTGCAGCGAAGCACCCACTGTGTGCCGGCCTGTCGAGGGCGCAGACGCGGAGCCGAGGCGCCCTGCCCGCTGGGCCCTCGGCGAGCACAGGAGGTAAACCTCGGAGGCTTACTCCGAAGGCTCGGCTCGCAGGTGCTTGCTCCAAGCTCTGGGACCCGCTCTCGTCCGCTTTTTTCCTTGTACATCACGTACATTCGGCCTGATTCCGCTCCATGAGGCAGAAACCAGGCTGGACGTGAGGCTCCACTGTGGGGCTCTACCTCTGGCCCTTCTTCCTGCCAGAGCTGCAGCAGGGAGGGTGGGCTCAGGGAGCAGGGTTTCAGACCCTTCCGAGCGCACCCGCTGTGGCTGACACCAGGAGACCATCACCTGGGAGAAGCTCCCAGCAGGAGACAGGGTCTACCCGGAGCTGTCTCATGACTGCCCGGAGGGCAAGGAGACCCCAGACTGCAGAGGACTGGGGAGCGGCTTCACCGCCAGCTCTGTGTGAAACCCTCCCGTTCCAGGAGCAGGGATGGAGCTGGGCCTTGGCCCACATTCCAGCTGCTCATCACAGCCCCGCCACAGAGGGCCCACCATCAGGGGATTAAGAGGCTCTCAACAGGGTCCTGCCCAGGCTGACTCTGCCCACTCCTGAAGCATCTCTGTGACTGACCCTGCCAGGGAACCTCTTCTGAAACACTTCTTCCTGGCTAAATTTGGTCCTGGTTTAGGCACTGCTTCCTCCAGGCAGTCCTCCCTGATTTCCCAGGTCACTTATATGTCTTCATCTGCATATGCCAGCAGCGCCTGGATTGTTTACTCCCCTGAAACCCCCAACACATACACATTTTGCATCTTCCCCAGGGTGGCCCCTGAGTGCTCAAAGTGTGCTTCCTGCAAGAGGTCAGTATACATGTGATCAGTCGTGACTCTGCAACCCCATGGCCTGTAGCCTCCCAGGCTCCTCTGTTCATGGAATTTTCCAGGCAAGAATACTGGAGGGGGTTCCCATTTCCTAATCCACGAGGTCTTCCTGACCCTGGCATCAAACCCTGAATTGGCAGGTGGGTTCTTTACCACTAGTTCCACCAGGGAGTTCGGTTCAGTTCAGTCACTCAGTCGTGTCCGACTCTTTGTTACCCCAAGCAGGAGCTCAGAGGAGGGAGTCTGGGAGAGGCCTGTTGCAATCAGGGGTCTGTGTTTGCACTGCCCTCTCCCAAACCAGGAGCGCCTGGCGTCTTCCCCTTTTCGGTATCCTCTGGTCTGGTTGATGTAGTAGGTGCTCAGTAAAGCTTGATGGGCTGATGTCGAGATTCATGGCTGATGTGCACCCCACCCCCAGCAGCCTAGTGGATCACAGCTCCGAACCGAAGGGCGGGAGTCTACACCTCTGCACCCTGGCTTGGGCATGCCCACGCTTCCCTCGGGGGCTGGCCGACCCATTTCTGGGGCTTTTGCAAATGCAGGGGCAGTTGACACGGGGGTTTTTGGAGACAGGCGGTGGACGTCGCTCCAGAAGTGACCCCTGGGCCGCGGAGCTGGGAGGGGGAGCAGAGGTCTCCTTTTGCACGCCGTCCTCCCCCTTGAAGCAGCACACGGAGGGTCAACCCCAGGATGGCTTTGGGGAGCGTCTCCTTCCAGGGTTCCCCAGCCAAGCCTGGTGGGAGGTGGGTGGGGAGGGAGAGAGGACCGGGCCTGGACCTGGGCATCACCTGGGCTGAGGCTCACCGCCTGCCACTGGGAGCGTCTTCACTGACCCCAGTGGAGTTTCTCATGAGCCAAGGATTATACTTTCCATCCAGTGAAGGCTCTTGAGGGACTCTGCTGGTGGCCCAATGCTTAAGGCTTCACACTGCCAACGTGCAGGGCTCAAGTTTGATCCCTGGTCAGGAAACTAGACCCTGCATGCTGCAATAAAACAGATCCCGATGGCGTAACTGGAAAAAAAAAAAAGACAGAGATCCCGCATAAGGCAACAAAGATCGAAGATGCCGCATGCTGCCATTAAGCCCCGGAGGAGCCAAAAAAAAAAAAGACTTCAGAGAATCTGGTCAGTCCAGCTGTGCTCAGGAATGTTCTCTGAGCTTCCATGTGGGTCTGTGATTGCATTCTCCAGCCCCGCGCCCTCCCCTTCTATCTAGGATGGAGAGAGGGAGGGATTCCACACTGGTTGGGGGACCGTGGCAGCAGGAGCCAGACCGGCTGTGCAGTGAGCTTCTGGGACACAGCCCGGGGGAAGGCGGCCTGCCTCTGAGCTCCGGGGCCCTCGCACAGCTGGGCCTGGGTGGCCGGAGACTCAGGGAATGTGGCTACAAGTTCAGAGCTTATTGTGTGGCCAGTGGTCAGAACGAGTCCAGCTCTACCACCACTGGCCCTTCCACTGGGCAAGGCCATGTGTCCAGTCTGGCCCCCGTCTCCTGACCTCTAAGACGGGGGTGGTCACCTTTCCTAGCAGGGCCATCCCCCATCGGCAGGGCTAACCCAGGAGCCGAGGGCAGCGAGGGCACAGTGCCTGGCCTGGTGGGTCCACAGTGGGCGGCCGTCGGGGGCCATCCCACGCCCCTGACTGAGGCTCTGCCTTTCTTGGTTGCAGGCAAGCCCTGATGGAGGTGCTGGGGAGTTAATTAAGGTCCCGGGAGTGACCTTCAAGCAGGGTGTTGGTGGGTGTGGTCCCTTAGAAGGGGAAATTCTGGGGTGCGCTCCATAGCCTCATAGAGGCTCCCAGGGGACTGAGCCCCCATTGCCTGCTGCAGACCGCCCCCATCCCCGAGAAAGCAACTTTCTTCTTCCCCCAATCCCTGCTGTGCTTCCAGGAATCCCTGCCTGCACACAGAGTCCTGTCTCCCGTCTGCTTTAAGGAAAGAGGGGTGCCGGCTTATCACCCTGATCTGCAGGCGAGTGGAGACCAGCTCGGTAAGTGTCATTCTGGTGGGAGAGGGGTGGGCTTCCTGGGGGAGGTGCCCTTCGAGCAGAATCTAGAAGCGACGGTGATGGGGAAGCCAGAACAGAGCTCTGCATCCCTGAGATCGCCTTCCCACACCCCCCAGCCCACGATGACCCCAGCCCCTGGCTGCCCAGCCACGCCCCTTGTGACCAGAGGGAATGCAGCGGCTGGGCAACACTCGATGGGTTCCAGGTCGGCTCCTCTGAACCTTCCTATTTGTGCAGAGTTAATGTCCCGTCATTAGTGGTTAGAAAGCTTGCGGGAGTTAAACATTAAGCGCTGTGTGTGCTGGGAAACATGGTCTCTTGTGCCCGGGGTTGATGGTCAAGGCCGGGGCCCTTGCTCTTGCTTTGGAGTTCTCCAACAGACAGGCTTTCCAAGTTGTTGAAAGAGACTAACTTGGGAGTCCTACCTCCCCGGGTCTCCATGGGCCCGGAGATGGGCCAGTTCCTCCAGGAAACTCCCAAGTGCCGTGGTGGCCTGGGACCTCTGGGGTGGGAACCGCAGGGGTAGGGTTGGGCCAGGGGCTGGGACCTCTCCCCCAGGGCCTAGGAGAACAGCCCTCAAGGCACCTGCCAGGCCCCCCTTGAGGGTCCCCGGAGGGGTGGGAAGGCAGCCCCCGAGGCCCAGACCGGCAAGCCGCCTGAAGGCTCTGGGTGGGGGGGCAGGTCACAAAGGAGGAGTCGGGCCATTCCTGCATCCTCCCTGGTCCCCGCCCCCTGCACCTCCATCCCTCCCTCCACTTCCCTCCTTTCCTCCACAAACTCGTCTCAAAAGCACCAGCGCTGGGCCCGACGCAGCCTGCACAGGGGCCGTCTCTGCCCCTCTAGGGAGCCCCTGTCTCGGGGGCAGGGGGCAGACAAGCAGGCTGGCATAGCATTCGCGCTCAGAGGAGCACGCGGAGGCCGTGCCCCTGAGCCGGGCCTTGAGCGCTGGGAGGGTGGGGTGTTGGGACAAGGCTCAGGGTGTCACCTCTGGAACACGCAAAGGTCAGGGAGGGGGGAGCGGCAGAGTGGGCTGGGAGGGTCTAGGCGGGACACCTCCGGGAGAAGGTGCGGGACAGTGCAGGGCACAGGTCTGTGAGCTAAGCTCCATCCGCAGGCAACACCTGCACCCCTGAAGCGTCTCAGAAGCACCTGTTTTTGTGTCTGTCTGCCCCAGAGGCAGTCAGTGTATGTGCACCCCCGGGACCAGTGGGCAGGCAGCATGTGTGCACCCCTGGGACCAGTGGGCAGGCAGCGTGTGTGCACCCCCGGGACCAGTGGGCAGTCAGCGTGTGTGCACCCCTGGGACCAGTGGGCAGTCAGCGTGTGTGCACCCCCGGGACTAGTGGGCGTTCAGCGTGGGCGGTCAGCGTGTGTGCACCCCCGGGACTAGTGGGCGGTCAGCGTGTGTGCACCCCCGGGACTAGTGGGCGGTCGGCGTGTGTGCACCCCCGGGACCAGTGGGCAGGCAGCGTGTGTGCACCCCCGGGACCAGTGGGCAGGCAGCGTGTGTGCACCCCCGGGACCAGTGGGCGGTCAGCGTGTGTGCACCCCCGGGACTAGTGGGCGGTCAGCGTGGGCGGTCAGCGTGTGTGCACCCCCAGGACTAGTGGGCGGTCAGCGTGTGTGCACCCCCGGGACTAGTGGGCGGTCAGCGTGTGTGCACCCCCGGGACTAGTGGGCGGTCAGCGTGTGTGCACCCCTGGGACTAGTGGGCAGTAGGACCGGTGAAGGCAGCTGAGTGAATTCTGAACAAGCAGATGGACGGGTGGGCGGCTGAGCGGCAGGTGGGTGGGTGAGCTGGTGGGCGGTGGGGGTGGCGGGGCGGATGGATGGATGGATGGACGGATACGTAGATGGGTGTGCGGGTGGTACGGTGGGTGGATGGATAGAGGGGTGGGTGGGTGGCTGCGTGGGCTGATGGGTGTGTGGATAGTAGTGAGGGTTGGCGGATGGAACCATCTCATCCACCATTTCAGTTCCAATCAGAACTTGCAGGCTTCCACACGGAGCCCTGAACACCAACCTAGGGGCCACTCACCTCTGCTGGCCCGGTCAGTTAACAAACTCTCTTTGCCTTGAGCAGAGCTGCATAGAGGCTGATCTCCAGTTACTGCCGGGGTCAGGTCTGCCAGAGTCCAGGGTCAGCCTCCCCCTGCGGGGAGGAGCCCTCTCCTCAGCGGTAATGAAGTGAGGAGGGGGTGGGTGGGAGCTCTCCTTCCCTGAGACCCCACCGCACCCCACCCCTGACCACCCACCCCCCCACCCCACCCCTACGCACAGCCCACAGTCTGTCCCGAAGCTTTGTAATCCCTCTGGCTTCAGACCCTGCAGGCTGGGGGCTTTCCTGGCCCATTAGTAATCAGGGAAGCATTTGTGCTCTTGTCAGTGGTACCTCCTGGAACGTCAGGAGAGGGGCCACCTTCAAGAGGGGAGACCCCAGAGCTGGGCTCCCAGTGGGGGCAAGAGGCCCTGCAGGTGTGCGAGCCAGCCTGGGGCTGCACTTCTGGGCCTGGAGGGGTGGCTGGGGGCCTCTCTCCAGAAACAGACTCCCTGCCCCAGGATGGGAGGGGGCTCAGTCCTTCCGCCAGGGCCGGCCGCCCCTCAGGCCCCTCTGTCCTGCTCTATCATGCATGGCAGGGCCAAGGGTCGAAAGCGAGCCCGACTCAGCCCCATCAGCTGAGATTGGGCTGCTGGGGGGCCGCAGGGGGGCAGGAAGAGGGGGCTTCGGGTCCTTTGGGAAGAACAGGGTCACGGGGAGCACAGGCTTGGGCGTCCTGGCTTTGCCACGTGCATGTGAGCTGGTCTGGGAGCCCCATTCCCCCACCTGTCGGAGAGGGGAACCCCTGCCTCCTGGGACGGGGTCAGGGTGGAGAACGCCTGGCCTGCCGCGGTGCTGAGCCCAGCACGGGAGCTGCTGTCATCAGCACTTCATCAGGACCGCCAGCCGGGGTCAAGGTCAGCTGGCCGGTCGTGACCTCGGCGACCAGCTCGCCCTGCATATCTGAGCTCCTGGGACTGATCCTCTCGGGGACGTTGTAAACAGGAGGCTGAGGACATTCCTCTGTGCCAGGGCCTCTGTCTCCCCACCCCCGCCCCGGTCGGCCCAGCCCTGAGGGAGGCCTCTCACCTCCCAGGCCCGCCTGGATGGTGGATGTCGGGCTGGGAGAGCCGAGGGTGATGGTGCACGTGGGGCACACGTGAGATGAGAGGGGCTGGGGGGACGTGGCCTCCCAGGACTGTTAATAAACATATGGAAACACTATCTTCAAAGCTCACGTTGCTTCTTGCAAACTTGAAACATCCCAGATGTCAATTTCGAGATGCTGGCAGGCAGCATCAACCGTCTTGAAGTTGCTTGGGCAGCAGTACACCCCCTCCCCCCAAGGGAATCTCGGGGTGTTGTGGCCATGGGGCCCGGCCATGGGAGTGGAAAGATGCCAGACTTGGGGGCACCTTCCGGGGTGGTGATGGGGAGCTAAGGCAGGTACCCCTGCTGCTGTCAGGAGGCTTAGGCCAGCAGCGCTCCTGCACATGGGCGGCCCCTCTGAGGCCCCTCAGGCCTGGGTGGTCCCCGCGGCCATGCACAGCAGAGGGCTCAGTGACCCCAGGTGACACCTGGGCCGGCAGCTCGGCCTCGGCTGAGGGCCCCAGGGGACACGGGCGCGTCAGCCCAGTTCGGGCTGCTCTGACCTGGAGCGGCAGGCGGAGGGGAAAGCTCTCAAGACCCCTTCCTCCGGAGCCTCAGCACAGGGGCCTGGGGGCTCAGTTTCAAGACAGATTTACAATTCAGTTGTGAAATGGGATAAAATTAGGCATCCCCCTTTGGGCATCTCGAGTTTTCCTCTTTTAAAAGTTCTGTTCCTCTTAGCAAATGTATTTACTTCTAGATTAATTTTTATGTTGTGTTGACAGATGGGAGGGCAGGGTGGGGGGGGGGTGTTTTCCTTTTCTGCTCCCGGAGAAGCTGCAGTGAGGACCCAGCAGCCCCAGGGTGGGGAACAGGGAGCCCGACCGTGAGGAGGCCGTCCCGATCGACTCCCGCTTTACCGCTGATGAGCTGTGTAGCCCTCGGTGGGATCTCAGCGTCTCTGAGCCTGCCTCCCTCGAGTTGAGGGGGGAATTCAGAACACAGCAGGCAGGCTGGGGAAGGAGAGGTGTCGGAACAGAACGAGGCCAGGGTTCAAGGCCATGTGCATGTATGTGCTTGCCAGCATGCATGGTCCCGTGTCCTGGTGAGCATGCGTGTGCATGTGCGTGTGTGTGAGTGTGTAGGGGGATCCAGGACGCATGGGTGGGGAGTGTGGAACTGCCCCCAGGAAGAGGGCCATCCACGCTTTAGGGGAGACAGGTGACAAGCACGTGGACGGGCAGGGCTCGGGAGCCTGGTTTGGGGAGTGGCTGGGGGAGGGGTGGCCTGGCCGTGGCCGTGCTGGGGGAGGAGGGGCGGTGGGTGGGGCAGAGGAGAGGGGCGGACGGGCCTGCCCGCCCGTCCCCCAGGCAGCTCCGGGAGGCTTCCTGGAGGAGCATGGCGCTTTCAGCGGTGCTGGATTGGTTAGCAGGTTGCCTCCACGGCCCTTACTGGCCGCAGCAGATGCCTTCAAGGAGGAGGAGGGTGGGGGTCCGGGGAGGCCCCTCGGGCGGGACACCCTCACGGGCAGGAGGGGAAACCAGTCCCCTGCCCCCGGTCCCCTGCTTCTGCTCCCCACTTCCAGGCCGGGCTGGATTTGGGGTCCAGAGTGACACTGCCCTTGCCTGGAGGGAGGGAAGGAGAGGGTCCCCAGTTTCCTCCAACACGTTTCCCTCCAGACGGGTCTTCCCTAAAGCCTGTCCCACCTTGCTGGGGTCAAGGTGCCTGGTGAAATGCTTTCCACTGGGTTTTGTTACAGAAGAGACCAGGGTTCGATCCCTGGGCCGGGAAGACCCCCTGGAGAAGGGAGTGGCAACGCCCCTCTGTTCTTGCCTGGAGAATCCAGGGGAGCCTGGCGGGCTACAGTCCGTGGGGTCGCGGTCGGGCACGACTCAGGGGCTTGGCACGCACGCCACACACGGTGGGGGGCGATGGCGGGTGGGCAAGACCCCTCGCACCCGTGCGCGTCCTCGGGCTGTAGGCCCCCAGGGCGCCTCGGCGGTGGCTCAGCCCAGCCTCGGCCCGGGCCTTGGCCCTGATGCACTGGGAGTCGGCACGCCCCGGCTGGCGGTGCCTCTGGGCCTGGACGTCTCGGCACCCGTGGCTGCAGACAGGTCGGCACGGCCTGCAGACGCCAGGCGTCTCTGCCAGCGCGCGCCGGCGCCCGGCCCTCCTGGGGGTCTGGAGAGAGTCCCGCCCCGAAGCTGGCTTGCATTTCATTCAGTCCTTTGCTGCCCCGGCTCCCTGCATCTGCTCACTGGCTCATCCCTTTTCTGGGCCCTCCCAGCTCTGGACTCAGAACCCCACTCACTGGGGTCTGTCGGGGCACAGCTGACGTCTCGAGAGCCCAGCCCCAGGCCCGGAACAGAGGGGCGCCGCGGGCCCTCAGGACAGAGTCCACAGTCCTCTCCTAGGACACTGCCTGAGCACTTCCGGCTCTGACCACGCTGGGTACCGTCGGGCCTGAGGACGGGGCCCCCCTCTTTCTGCCTGTGCCCAGTATTCCCTCCCCCTCTCCCCACCCCATTTGGACAGCTCCTCCCTTCTTTGCAGTCTCAGCTTGGATGAGACTTCTTCCAGGCAGCCCTCCCTGGTTTCCCCCATCTGGATTGAGCCTCCTAAACAAGCACACTCTGAGCTTCGCCTGCCCAAGACCCTGCCAAACAGAGTTACGTTGCCTGGTGAGGGCCTGGGGCCAGGGCCTATTCACGCGCCCTGAGGCCCTGCTGAGTTCAGAGAGGCCTGTGTCAAATGCTCAAGGAGTCAGCGCAGGACTCAGGGAACTGGGAGGGCTGACCTGTGGCCGTAGGGCTTCCTTCTGGCCGCTGCTGAACTGCCCTAGCTGGGGGTGGGGGGTTGCCCCAGTGTCTGTGTGGCCTCTGGGCTGGAGCGGGAGAGTGGGTACTTGGAGAGGTCCTGGTGCCCTGGGGAGAGACCCGTGAAGGAGGCGGGATGTGCACCCTGACCGAGGGCGGCTTAGGGGCCTCCCGCGGCCTCCAGGATCCTGGCTGTCACTGCAGCCTGGTCTGAGGTTATCAGACGGCCCTGGAGCCTGTCATGAGGGTCAGGCTATCTGCACCGCACTGGCATCCAGACGGGCACTTCTAAGACAGGCACCCCTCAACCCTCCTCAGCAGAGCCCCCCCCGACTTGTACCCTGGGTGGGGCTGTTGGTTTGACCCCATGAGGCTGGGTCTAGCTCTGGACCGGAGTCTAGAAACCCAGGGGCTAGCCCAGCCTGCCCCGGCTCACTGTGTGCCCTTGTCTAAGTCCTCTCTCCGGCCTCCGCCTCCCTGTCTGCGAAGGGCCCCCCACGCTGCCGCTACTTCCTTAAAGGAAGGTGGTTCCGAGTGGAGGCGCGAACGCAGGCTCAGGACCCAGGCAGACCTGGGTTCAAATCCTGCCTCGGCTGCCTGCTGCTGTGTGACCCTGGGTGGCTGGCGGAGCCTCTCTGAGTCTGTCTGCTCTGCGCCTGGGGTGAGGGCTGTTGAATGATCAGTGTGGGGCCTGGGCCACGTGGCTTCTGGCCCTGCAGGCCTTTAGTGACCATACCCAAGGCTCCTCGGCCGGACGAGGGAGCCCTCGACGTGGGGGAGCCTCTCTCTGCAGAGCCCACAGGTTGAAATGGCCGCTCAGCCCCGGGCAGCTGGTGCTGGCCTCTCCACGAGCAAACTAACTCATCCTGAAAGTAAGACAGGCCCACGCGGGGTGAGCATCAGGGCAGAAACGCGGCGGGTGCGTGGCTGAGGGGCGTCCTGGGCCACCTTGGAGGGGACACGGGGCTTGCACGTCCAGGAGTCGCTGTGGAACGCCCGGACACTGGACACCCACAGCAGAGCTGCAGCACGGATGCCTGGCCCCGGGTCCCCGGCCCGGGAAATCACGACGGCCGGGACTTGGGCCCTCACCTCGTCACTGGGGCCGCACAGTAACCCCGTGTTACGGAGGGGTCTCCTGACATGGCAAGGGGAGGCTGAGCACCCTTCACGCTCAGTGGCTGCTTTCACGGAGAAGGAGCTCGCGGCCTGGCAGAGGGAAGAAGGCAAGCCCGCGGGCCACAGCCCCTCCCTCCCTGGAGGGGAGTGTAGCCCCATCCCCCGCTCGGGGGCTGGGGGGCCAGGCCCGGCCTTTGGTGACCTCACCTCCTACTCTGTAGAATGGGGCCAGGGCGAAGCGCCCTGCACTTCCTTCCCCCACCTCAGTGACTGAGTGGTCAGTGAGACCTTCAGTGGGGCCGGCCACTCGAGCCCTTTCAACACCTAAGGCTAAAGCTTGCCCAAAATAAAACCACGTGGGCACCATGTATTTCCCCTTCCCCACGGCCGAGGGCCCCCCTTGAACTCTCAGGGGGCCCTAGCTTCCAGGGGGTCACATGCAGGCTCCCAGCCCCACCGCGAGGGATGTTATGTGCCCCACGGACAGAGGGGTGGAGCTATGGGGCGGTGCTGGAGGAAGAGTCGGAGCAGCATTGGAAACAGAGCCATCCCGATATGGACCGGCCGTGAGAGGTAGTGAGCTCCCTGCCAGGAGCGGTAACCAAGCAGAGATTAGAAAGCTCTGCCTCAGGGGTGTCGCATCAGAGTCAGGGAGGCCATAGGATGACCTGGGGACCCACTGCCTGGGTGCCGAGCCTGGCCCTGGGGAAGGTGGGCAGGCCCGCGGATACACCCAGCCGCCTCCCCGCCTCCTCCACTCTAGGGAATCCTGACCCTCTGGTTGCTTGAAAGATGAGAGGAACTTGGGTTTGATGTTTTGAAGAAGTGGCTTTTTATCAGAAAGTCCTCTGGGAGTCTGGGCCGCAACCAGTGAAATTATATCTGTTGTTTCAAGGAGGGGAGAAAACTTGGGCTGATGGTTATTGAGATTTATGGCTTCCCCTGAGCCTAATTGCCTCAGAATCTTTTTAACAGTTGTGCTAAGTGGTACTGAGACTGACAACAAAGCAGGCGGCTGCTCAGCTCGCTCCCACCACCATCTCCCGTCCCGCCCCCTCCTACCGCTTTGCTCTCCGTCCTCCCTGCCCTCCCGCCCTCCCCCCACCCCGTCTACACTGGGAGCTCCCTGGATGCACCACCAGGCAGGTGGTCGGGACCTCAGGCTCATCTCAGGAGAGAGGAGATGTGAAAAGCCGCTGGAGTTCAGGCCTCTGGATGAGCTTTGCTCCTCTTGCTGCTGCGTGGGGGCCCCGGAGGGGAAAGCAGGTCTCGGGGGAGGTGGCGATCCTGGCAGACAACAGGCGGTCCCGCGGTGTCTCTGCCCCTCTGAGCCTCCCCAGGCTGGCGATGGTGTCCGTGCTGTGGGCCGTGCCAGCCAGGGTGGCACTGCATCCCGCAGGTGCTCAACACATGCTGAAGGTCCAGAGGCAGAAGTGGGACCCTGGAGCACAGCTCAGATCAAATACGGAGGAGCTCTCACCGGCGGCCTCAGTGGGAGTGAGTCGCCCACCTCTGGGGGTGTGCCAGGGGAGCTGCGTGACTCTGGGCCAGGACGCAGGAGGGGAATCTTCTGCATCGAGGTGAGGCTGACCCAGGCTGATCCCCTGGACTGGGCACCGGGTCCCCCTCCTCCCGCGAGGCTGCCGCGCCCCTGCCTCCCTCCCTGTTCATCCCACAGGCAGGTTGAAAGGGCAGGGCCTCTTTCCGTGGCTGCCTCCCCAGGCTCCCAGCTGGGAGTCTAGAGCATTTAGAGGAGGGGGCATGGATGACTGAGGTTGTTGGGTAGCACCCCGGGGTGGTGAGGCAGGAGCACCCTCCTCCCGGAGGCTGGTTTGAGCTCACGGTCACGACTCCCAAGGTGAAGGCCGGCAGGGCTGGGGGGCCGCACAGACCCCTGGACAGTAGAGAATCACCCTTGGGCTGGGTCCACTGGGCGGCCTGCCAGTCAAGGGCTCTCCTGCCGGGAGGGTGGGGTGTCAGACCACCTTCCCAGCCCCACAGGCACGAGGAAGAGCCAGCCATGTCCTTCTGGGCAGGGCAGGGTGGGGTCTGCTCTGCCAAGGCCGCAAAGCTGCTGTGTTCAACTTGGTGTGGGCATTGAACAGCCTGCCTCCCTATTCCTCCCAACTCCCAGAGATGAGGGTGGGGCCTGGATGGGGCAGCCAGTTCCTCACGCCCTCTGATGGGATTAAGGCCCCTCCCAGGCCTCCCTGGAGGTGGAGGAACTTCCCTGCTCACTGCAGCTGGGCTGGGCCTGGGCCTGGCTCTGGCCGATGGCAAGCTGGTGGAGGTGAGCGGGGCACCTTCTGTGTGCGTGGCCTGCCTGCTCTCCTATGTGCTGGGGATCTGCCACGCCAGGAGCGGGCCCGCTGGTTCAGAGAACGCAGCCTGCAGCTTGCCCACCCAGAAGAGCCAACCGACCCACTGAGCCACAGGCAAGGAAACCCCTGTTGGCCGTGGTAGCTGAATTCTGGGTGGTGTGTTGCACAGCATGAGCTGACTCATACACATAAGTACTAGTATCATCTTCTGATGCCACTGATGAAGAAGCTGAGACTCAGAGAGATTGGGTCACTTGCTTGAGGCCACCCAGCTTGAGGAGGTGATGGAGAGTCAAGTCCAACTACCTTTTAGGCCTGGTGGGCTGTGTCAGGCAGGTGAGGGGCTTGACAGCTCTCGGGGTGCTGGGCTCAGGCCCTGAGTCTGGGGGGACACCTGGATTCGGGGGCCACAACCATCTCTACTGCTCCCTCTCTTGATTGCGGGTTGTCTGGCCAGACACCAGGATCCAGCACATTTATCTGCCGGACGCCTTGCAGATGGACCTGGCCAGGACTGCTCTGTCTGTCCTGAACCACTGTGGTGGCCTCCAGCTTGTACCTCGGCCACTTCGAGCTTCTACCTAGCAGCTGGAGGGACAAGCCTCGATCATCAACCTGACCCTACTACCCTCCGTGGCTCCCCAGTACCCTGAGGATTGAGTCTTGGTTCATTATCACCTTATTATGACCTGAGAGGCTCTGGTGACCCACCCCATATGCAGCAGACCTAACTCACACTTACCACACACCCCACACATTCACAACACCCTTACACACTCAGGTTCACCCTCACCAATCCACTCATCCACATATGGTCAGCCTCACTCTCAGATCCACATACACCCACACACATATTCACGCTCACACATGCCCACACTCGTATCCACACTCACACACACGCTCAGTCTCCGGCCTTATGGCCTCTGTACCTGCTCTTCCTCTGCCAGGAACACCTCTGCCTGGAACGCCTCTGCCTGGCTCCCCTCACCAGCTCGGCCACACGGCCTCCTCCAGGAAGCCCTCCCTGCCTGCACTTGGCCAGCCCCATCTTCCTGGGTCGCAGCGCATGTCCCATGCACTTTGTCATTGGCGACAGATCCCGTGAGGGCACGGCGCAGGTGCTCATTCAGCATTTACCAGGCCACTGCTCGCCACAGGGGGCTGCTGGGAGGGTGTGCAGGGCCCTCCTGGCCCCAGGGGTGAAGGGTGGTCTCTCTGAGGGCGCGGGGGTCTCCCCAAGCCCAGCCTCCTAGCCTTCCCGGGATCCTCTAGGCTTCTGGGACCCGGGGCTGTGATGGTGTGGGGTCTGATCTCGGGGTCTCTGGTCCCAGCAGCCCCATCTTGTGCCCCACCCCGTGCTCCCACCTCTTCCTCCCCACGAGATCCAGAAACTGGCTGGGGGTGGAGCCGGGACACCCCGGCCATACTGCCCTGCAGCCAGCTGTGAACCCAATAACCTAACGGTCAGCTTGGCTACTGAAAGCCTGGGTCTGTGCGATGGGGGGACCGGGGCCGTTCCCACGGAGGCCATGGAACACGAGATGCTGTCCGTGAAGCACCCGTCCAGGGCTAGTTAAACGTTCCGTGCGGGGATCCGACCCCCTCCTTCCCGGAGACGTTGTCCAGGCCTGGCCCCCAACCCGCAGCGCTGACCTGCTCCCAGGAGCCCCACGGATGCCCCCACCCCACACGGAGGCGCCAAGTCACCCTCGATCCCTGGCCCCCACCTGCCACAAGGTGCAGAGGCCCCGGCGCGGGTGGGGCTGGAGGGCGGAGTGCCATCTCAGGGAGCGGGCCCGGGGGCGGGGCACGGAGGGCCCCAGGGACGGGCGGGCTGCCTTTCCTCGAAGCCTGAGTCACCAGTCTCGGAATCCTGGCCTGACCTTGGGTGCTGGGTCAAGCCTCCTTGTTTGGGGGCCCCACCCTCCCAGCCGGAGAACCTGCAGGGATCCTGTGGGCCACCTCTGTGAGGGTGCCGGCTGGCTGGGGCAGGTGGTGACGTGACCTCTGGGTAGATGGCAGCGGGGTCGCATGCAGGGGAGCCGAGGTCCTGAGGACTCGGGGTCCCCGTGTGTGGTGCGGATCCTGCAAATCTACCCTCTCTCCACGCGTGTGCTGACCTGGTGCCGATGGTGAAACCAAGTGGGACCCCGGCCGTGAACGTCTTTCCGTGTCCCTGTCTCTCGTTTGTAGGGAACAGGCTCCAGCCCCCGGGACCTCCCCTGAGCCCTAGAAGGCAGATTCAGACGGCTGTTGATCAGGGGAGAGAGGACGCAGAGACAAGAGGGACCACCTGCAGCCAGATCAGAGGTGCGCAGGCCCGGTACACCCTGATCCTACCAGCAACTGCGTCCCCGAACCACGGCTATGAAAGTGAAGTCAAAAGTGAAGCTGCTCGGTCGTGTCTGACACTTTGCGATCCCATGGACTGTAGCCTACCAGGCTCCTCCATCCATGGAATTTTCCAGGCAAGAGTACTGGAGTTGGTTGCCATTTCCTTCTCCGTGGGATCTTCTCGACCCAGGGATGGAACCTGAGTCTCCCACATGGCAGGCAGATGCTTCACCATCTGAGCCGCCAGGGAATTTAAAACTCCTCACTGAACCCTGTGTGTCCCTGTTGCGACTCACAGGTTTTCATTGTGCCCCTCTTTGTCGGGCAAAGCAACGAAGCTCTTCGTTTCCATGCACCCGGAGCTCTGTCTCCGAGATTCCATTTGGCACTGGCGCACGTAGGCCGAGTTGTTGGCACCAGCGGTGGGGCAGGGAGACACGACTTTTTTATGCGTGTACCTGGTCTGAGACACTAGGGCCTCACTCTGAGCAGAGGCCCCGAGGAGGGCAGGCTCCTGGGGTGAGAGAGAGAGAGAGCGTCCAGGCGGAGCTGCAGGGCTAAGCCCGGGGACGGGGCGGCGCCGCACCCTTAGGACGCAGGGTGCCCCCAGCGTGCTGTGTGGCCTGGACGTGACCACGGTCGTGTGGGGACCAGCCCTCCCCCCCGGGGGCCCCTGCTCCATGCCCAGCCGTGCGCTGGGTGCAGGGGAGACGGGTGAGCAGGCGGTGAGGGGGGCTGGGCCAGCGGCAGGCCCAGCGTTACCTTCCAGAAAGCACGGCTCTGATGTGGCCCAGGGGAATAGACTGCAGGAGGGGACCCAGGCGTCCCTGTGCCCTTGGTCACAGGATGGGCCAGCCGCCCCTGCCCACACACGGCCGGTCCCATTGGGGAGCGAGTGACAGCAGCTGGATCCAACCTAGCAGAGGAGCCCGTTGCCAAAAGCCCAGCCAGGCGAGAGAGAGCCGAGGTGCTGGGAGTCAGGACGGTGGTTCTCGGGGGCCCGGGGACGGTGAGTGGGAGGGTGCCAGGGGTTTGGGGCTGTTTCCGGCCTGGGAAGTTCTGGACCTTTCTGAGTTGGCGGTTATGCTGAGCGGCTCTCTGCAATGAGTCATCATCATGTGTGCACTCTCTGTAAGTTTGTTGCACTTTTTTGTTTTTAGCAGACGGCACAGCTTGCTGGGATCCTAGCTCCCCTCCCGCAGACTGAACCTGGATCCTCTGCAGGGAAGTTTGTTACACTTTAAGAACATCAAGGAGTTTATACTTTAAGGGAGGGTGATGCCCCAGGGGAGCTCCTAGTTACCCCCAAGGCCCGGCACTCCTCAGGGGCTCTGGAAGGCTGGAAACGTCCCTGTCAGTCTCGAAGCCACCGGCTTGTCTCCCTGGAGACTGGGGTCAGAGTCTCGCCGGGCTGGTCCAGGCCTCCACCTTCCCCAGGCAGGGTCCAGGAGGCTCCAGTGGGCTCAGGTGAAGGGGAGCTGGGGGCGTGGAGGAGAGCACGTTCTCTGTGGGAGCGGCCAGATGGGGGAAGGGGCCCTGGAACAGCAGGAGGCATCTCGGGCCGGGGGTCCGGTGCTCAGCCTCTCACTGGCCGCCCCCCTACCCGCACCGTCCACTGCCCGCGGCCCCTCCAGGATGGGAGCCAGGCAGCTGCAGGAGGAAAGAACGTTCTAAGGCTATTCGTGTCCTCGTTACCATGGCAAACACTGGGGAAAAGAAAAAATCCACTCAAACTGTCCTGGTGCTGGACATGCAAGCACACGGTTCAGGTGAGGCTGGGTGCCTGCACCTGCATGTGCGTGTGGGCGCGTGTGTGCACGTGTGGGCGCGTGTGTGCTCCTGTGCACGCTTTGCACATGCACACAATTGCATCTAAAGAAACAGCTTCTTTAGAAAGAGGACGGTTTTTTGAATTTCAATTGGCTGTCTCAACAATGTCCGTTTAATTAGCGTGTTTTGAAGGGGAAATGAAAGAAAATTATAATTCATCCGAGAAAATGGTTGTACGTGCTCAGCTCTTCTGGTGGGTTCCGGAGGAGCGCTCCAGGTCTGCAGAGCCCGAGCCCAGGGTGTCCAGGCCCGAGGAGGGAGGGATGAGCCCACGCGGCCGGGGCGGGGGCCTCTGAGGGCCGGTCCGGCGAGCACAGGGGACCGGGACGCGGCGGGGGGAGCAGGCTGAGGGTCCCCCCCGCCGGCTTTGTCATCCAGGAGCCCTGGGTGTGGAGCTGTTGCTGCCGTTCAGTCGCTAAGTTGTGTCCGACTCTTTGTGGCCCCGTGAACGATAGCACGCCAGGCTTCTCTGTCCTCCTGGAATTTGCTCAGTCTCACGTCCAATGAGTCAGTGATGTTATCTAACCAACCTCATTCTCTGCCTCCCCTTTCTCCTTCTGCCCTCGATCTTTCCAAGCATCAGGGTCTTTCCCAATGAATCAGCTCTTCACATCAGGCGGCCAAAGTACTGGAGCTTCAACTTCAGCATCAGCCCTTCCAGTGAACATTCAGGACTGATTTCCTTTAGGATGGACTGGTTAGATCTCCTTGCAGTCCAAGGGACTCTCAAGAGTCTTCTCCACCACTGTAGTTCGAAAGCATCAATTCTTCGGCGCTCAGCCTTCCTTATGGTCCAGCTCTCACATCCGTACATGATACTAGAAAATGATAGTTTTGACTATATGGATCTTTGTGGGCAAAGTGATGTCTCTGCTTTTTAAAACACTCTGTAGTTGGTCATAGCTTTTCTTCCAAGGAGCAAGCGTCTTCTAATTTCATGGCTGCGGTCACCGTCTGTAGTGATTTTGGAGCCGAAGAAAATAAAATCTATCTCTGCTTCTTGGGTTTAAATTCTTACTTTGCCAGAACTCACCCAGACCGGGCTGCTCCACTTGTGAAATGTGCCAAAGGGCAATGACCGTGGAGCAAAGCAATGATGATCAAAAAAGGCCTCATAAACCCTTGAGTCCTGGAAGAACTGACCCCGGGGCAGCTCGCAGGCCAAGTCCTGGTCAAGCTTCTCTCCAAACGGGAGCATCCTTCCGGTGGCCCAGCTCAGCAGTGCAGGAGACCAGGGCCGCACTCTGTGGTTGCTCCCAGGCGCCTCCGGACAGCTCCAGGCTGCGACACGTGGAGGCCTCGCCACCCCACGAGGCTCCTGCTCCGCACAAGGGCCCCCGCTGGGGGCGGAGCCTCCCTCGGGGATCCCGCTGCAGCCAGCAACACGCCTCCCCTCGCCCACCAGGCTCCTGAGTCTCCCCGCGGCCTGCGCGCCCCTGCGGGGGTCCTCCATAGAGGGGGCTGGGGCCTGGGCTGGGGGCGGGGAGTCCTGGGCTCCCCTCTGCTCCTTGGGCTCCAGCGTGCCATAGGTCTACGGGCATGTCTTACCCAAGACACTAGGAGATCAGCTGTGTCACAGAGGGGACCTGGGTGAAAGGTGTGGGCCCCATTTCCAGAAGAGTGGGGCGCCTTCAACACGAGGGTGCCAGGCAAACTGTGTTTCCGGGTTCCACGAGGAACCCGTCCCCCTTCCTGAACTCCCAGCAGCCGGGTGGGAGCCAGGCCCGGTCCTCTGGCTGAACCGGGGACTGCTGTCACCCCACTGGAAGGTGAGGCGGTGGAGGCACCGGCCCGCACGGGCCCGCTGGTAACGACCAGCTGCCTCTCGTCCCCGACTGTGACTCCAAAGTGGGGCGCTGGGGCGGGGAGACCCCACGCCGCGCGTCTGCCTGTGCCCTCTGCATGCCGACCTCGGGCAGCCTGATGCAGTGGCCGCTGTGCCCACTCGCCTTGTCCGGCCCACCCCCAGCCTCCGTGTGGCGTCCAGCGCGTCACGTGTGCATGAACTCATGAGGCGTGGACCAGCGTCCCATTTCCCAGAGGCGAAAACCGAGGCCGAGAGGGTCTACATGCACATGGGGATGGTCAGAGGGAGCTGAATTCGACCCGAGTCGCTCTGACTGGAAGCCAGTGCTCCCTCCAGGACCCCCTTCTGCACACACCGTGTCCACCTGTCAGCCCTGGGTGTCCACGCCACCCCCCTTGGGTGTCCTGCGCCCCCTGATCCCACCTCTGTCCTGTCCCCCAGGAAGCACAGTGGCCACGCCAGCCCGTGTCTCCCCCAGGCCCACCCCCCGGGGCCTTTTCCTCCACAGGCCTCAGCTGGAGTTAGAGGGACGGGTGGAGGGAAGGACAGAGAGACAGGTTCTGTCCAGGATGCCTGTCACAGAAGCCGTGGACTGTACCTTAGCATAAGTAGACGTGCACGGCCGTGTCCCAGGTGGGGAAGGCCCAGCTCCCACATGCAGACTGCGCTTCGCAGGGGGCAGGGCCTCTCCGGATGGAACCCTGCCTCTGGGAAGGACAGGAGCCCCGGTGCCCCCCACCAGGCCCCTCTCCGGTACCCAGGCAGACATGACTAATCGAGCAGCACCCCTTCTCCCGCAGAGCCTGGCTCCCAGCCTTCCCTGTGCAGCCAAGACCAGCTGATTGCAGCTGGCACCAGAGCCCGTCCTGGCCACACCAGCTGTAAGTTATTATTAAAACTAACTGAAGCCCAAGTCAGCCAGTGTCCCAGCCTGCGGGCACCGCAGAGCACCTGGGGGAGGGCGGCTCAGACCTGCTCGCTGCCGGCCTTTCCCTACCGCCTGGCCAGCATCACCAGATGCCCAGAGCCGGCTGCCCCAAGGAGCTCTGCGGTCCACCCCAAAGGCTCCAGGCCAGAGTCGAGGCCCACCCCTGCCCAGTAGCTGCCCTCTGGGACCACGCAGAACCCCCCAGGCCTCAGCCACCCCTGGTTCCTGGTCCCACGCCCAGTGACGGGCCGGGGTCTCAGCCGGGGTCAGGCTGGAAAGCTGCATTTGCCACAAGCAGGTGCAGGGCTCCAGGACCCCAGCAGAGTGCACTGGGTGGTCCCTTCTTTGTGGACAGCTGGGCGCTGATGCCCCTGGGACAGCCCTCCCCTGAGAGAGGTGCAGGCTGCCGCGTGCCCCGGGGCTGGGCACCCCACCCTAACCGTCACCCTGCCCTCTCGCGGTTCTCACGGGGCATCCCCCGAGTCGTGGCGGGGGTCTCACATTCTCTCGCTCTGCTTCTTGCTCAGTGGGGCCAGGCTGGTCCTCGCCAGAACCTCCCTCCCGCCGCCCGCCCAGCCCCAGGCTGGCCTGAGCAGACTGCTGCCCTCCTGGGCCTGAGTGGCTTCCTGGAGCCCTCGGTCACGGGGCCCCCTCGGCTCTGCCTGGGCCCCAGTATCTGTCACCCGTTTCCAAACAGCTTTGCCGGTGATGGGCCCAGACTCCCTACCAGGTGTCCCCAGGGCCCTGGGCTCCCGGGACCCTCCAGGTGAGGGTCCTCAGCGCTTGAGCAACGGGCTCTAAGCCTCTGCCTGGGGCAGGAGTCCGGGTTCTGGCCTTGGAGCTGAGTCACACTGAAGGTTCCTCGGCCTCTCTGGGCGTTGCTGCCTGTCCCTGTGAAGTGGAGTCATGCACCTGCCCCCCGGGGCGTGCGGGAGTCACGGGGGAAGGCCAGAGAACAGGCCCCTCAGGGTGACCCTCTGCCCTGCGGCACGGGGACCGAGCCGTCCGAGGAGCGAGGGTTTGCTGTAATGAGACGCGGTGCGCGGTGCCTGGCACGGGGCGGTGGGAGCTGCTGCTAAGGGTGGTGCCCCCGCGCTCCACGGTGGGGGGACAGAGCGCCCGCAGGCTGCGGGGCCGGGAGCCACCTGACCTCCGCACAGACACACAGGGAGCCCTCTGTGCTCGGAGCCGCCGCCCGCCGCCCCCCAGGGCGGGCCACCCCCACTGCCAGCCACGGAAACTGCCCGCTCCGGGCTCCCAGCCACACGCAGCCCCGGGCCGCCCCCTCCACCCCACTGAAAGTCAACAGGCCCGTTTTAGCAAACGTGGAAGCCGAAGAAAACCAGAGGCGTAAACAAAGTCCCCAGAGGCCCCCTCCCCGGCCCGGCCTCCGGAGTCGGCTCCCTTCTGGGTTATTCCTGCCTGGTTCTCCTCCTCAGGTCCT